CATTAAGTGCCGAAATGTGCACCTCTGCCTACCCCTTCGGGGATAAAAAGTCGTGATGTTATGTTTAGAAAGAAGTATTGTAATTGTAAGACAGAATATTTTATTACTAATTAATGAATTTGCAGAAACTTTTGATAAAATAATACTTTTTCCAAACACACAATAATGTTTACGGTGCCCCAACACAAGAACCTTAATTACAAAAATATTGAACATTCCTATGTTATCTAAGAAATAAATAAAATCTTTTAAAACTATCACACAGCCATGTGTCTTCTTCAAGTCGTGAGCTATAAATAGCGTCCTATTTCATTAATAGTTGTTATCTATGATTTGAAAGCATTTTAAACATAATTTTAAGTGGTTAATTTTTATTGGGTGATCGAACACTTGGGTGGGGTTATTGACGTAACAAACATATGGACATGCGATCATACTGCAGGCGGACATGAGGCAGCAAGTTCAGTAAGTCCACTTTAATTTATTTTTATTAATTGATGACAATAGAAATGTTTTTATAGTAACTATCGTGAGACATACTAAATTAAGTAAAATCGCGGGTTACTCACGTGAATATACTGCTCACACTGCACACGCTGCTCATGAGGAAGAACCCCTCTGTGGTTCGAAACTAGTAGAGCTTTTCTCAGTATATTCACATGAGTAACCCGCGATTTTACTTAACTTGACAATAGAAGTCTTTACCAACCAATATAATAAGGGACATTAGGTGAATTAGTGACGTAATTTAAGAAAAAAATAGATAATATTAAACATTATTTATAAACAGATGATTCTTAATTACTTGATCGATAGGGAACTTCTAATGTTTTTAATCTAGAACTGAGGGGTATATAGAAGGGCACATACACTTACGAGCTGTACCCGCATTTTCGTTCGCGTAGTAAAGTAGCCTAAGTTACTCCTTAGTATATCAGCTATCTGCCAATGAGAGACCCATCATAATCGGTCCCGCCATTTCAAAGATTAGCCAGAACAAACTCAAAGATAGATAGATAAAAATTGTAATAAAAATTATTTTGGTATCATATCGTTTGTATATTCGTAATTGCATGTAGTAAAAAACGGTTATTTCAATATTACAAACAGATACTCTAATTTTATCTATATGTATAGATGTAATAACTGACTTATTGCCAATTTTTATACTTACAACTTAAATGATCTTTCATTTAATCAGTGATACTTCTGAACAATTTCCTATCGCAGCCAAGCCCCATACACCGGCCAGTCTACCCCGTTGAGTTCCACCGCAGTAATTAGATACGTACGATTAATATCCAGCCATTAAGGCTAGCTACCGTATATATACTTAGTGCCATGTAGAAGCCGCGGTTGAATGGATGTGGTCAAAGTGTTGCTAATGGCGAACCTCAAAGTGCAGGGCTAAAGATCATAATGATAAGTCTTGTAGCTATACTGGTGGTAGATAACGTATCTAGCGTTTGTCAATGTAATGTGATATGCTTGGGAAGACATTTAAACATATTATACCGGGATAGGGTAAGCAGTAGTACACATATTAAGTACAATTTCTCCAGTTCTGTTATACTTACAACCAACGTCTTTTATAATGGGGATTTTTCATTATTAGTTTTGAGTCTGTTTCTTATCACAATTTTCTATTTGTTATTACACACTGTGTCATTATATTATTATAACTTTTCCTTCCCCAGGTCCACAGGAGGAAAATCCAATAGGAATAGGTGGTACTTTTGTACTTTAATTTTATATGTGTTGTGTTTTAAGTTGTATGTGTGTACATAAATAAATAAATATTCAGTTCAATATTAAAGCTTTTGTTAATTAAAAAAAACTAAATAACTCTTTGCAGGACCCAGGACTCGCATCTAAGACGCCTTGCTTCGTAATCATGATTTTCGATCAAAATAGCTAGGAATAAACAGTAATTACAATATTGCTACTAGATAACGCAATCTAGCACTTATTGTAACACGATACTGTTGGGAAAATATCATGAAATCACCTAGTTACCAGTCGGTGTGAATAATAATCGTATAGCATAAAAATGGTCCGATTCATTCGATCGTTATTACTTAAAGTGGTGTGTGTTACACAGTGAATTTATCTTTATGTACTGTTACATATGCTAATATCAAGCTCGATAGCAAGCCTCAATAGGGCCTACCGTATTTTTCTCACTAGATGTCGCTAGTGCTCACCTCTCGTTTTTCGTCCAATAGGGAATCAGCTAGTGTCACACTATTGGACGTTCAATATTTGACAGCTGCTATGATTGGAGAGTCACTCACTTGTCACTTAGTAGCATGTGTCTGATGTCGAAATTAGTATGCTAATGTCGAAGCATGCTTCAAATCGACAAGCGTTCCATTTTCAATATTTTATTAATAGCATTCTATTGAGCGTGCTTAATATAATTCTATTTTAGAGCACCTTTAAGTAATTTATTCTATTTTGACGTATGTGTGTAAATAAGGTAAGTGATATTGAGTGGTAGTAGACAGGATTTGAACCTGTGATTCCGAAGCATTACTTAATAATGGGGTATAAAAAGTACCTAGACGTCATAGTTATACCCGAATTCATTTGTAAGACGCATAGGTAACAAATATAATTTTCTCATTATTTAGCAAAACCTTAAAAAGAAACTAAATAGGGCATAATTAAACGAAGAATAATTTTTTGTATGGCATAAACCGGCAAACTAGCAGACGAATCACCTGATGGTAAGCAATCGGCGTCGCCCATGGACACCTGGAACACCAGAGGCGTTACAAGTGCGTTACCGGCTTTTTGGGGATTAGGAGTTTGAGGATCGTTGGGGATTCAGGGATTGGGGAGATTGGGGAAGGGGAGGGTAATTGCACCTCCGGTAACCTCACTCACACGACGAAACACAACGCAAGCATTGCTTCACGTCGGTTTTCTGTAATATAATAAATAAAACAATAAAATAAATGTTACAAATTAATTTATTTAATATCACAGATTTAAATACAAAATTTACATTCGGTTAGTATCTACATGTAGACTTATACTAAAGACTTTCGTTTTCAATGAAAATATTACAAACGACACGTCAACTATTTATTATTAACATTTTGCTTCGAAAAGAGTGAAGCTTCAATATAGGCACTATACATAGCAAGCAAAGCTCCATGGTCGCGCTATTAAAAAAAAAAGAAAAAAGTAAAAAGGCGCGCTATGAAAACAGAGCAAAATGCTCTTGAAACGTAATTTTTGAATCCCCTTCGAGCTTGAAACATCACGCCTGTATCCCCAAACAGGCTTCGCAGTGGTTTAAAGGACAAACATTCATTTTTGTCACTTTTGTTCTGTGTTACAACTATGATGAATGACGGTAAAAAGGTTTGAAATGAAGTTTCGTACATTTATACTTTTTAAGATAATGCAATGTCCTAAGTCCAATGTGGCTGTTCACAAAATCACAAGTTATGTTATGACTTACGAGTCCCATGTAATAGGGAGTAAACCTATTGCTATAAACCAATGTACTTATTAGACACGATTTCAGACTCGTAATTTTTTTATGGCGTAGGCCGGTAAACGTGTAGACGGATCACCTGATGGTAAGCAATCGGCGTCGCCCATGGACATCTGGAACACCAGAGGCGTTACAAGTGCGTTACTGGCCTTTTGGAGATTAGGAGTTTGAGGATCGTTGGGGATTCAGGAATTGGCGAGATTGGGGAAGGGGAGGGTAATTGGGCCTCCGGTAACCTCACTCACACGACGAAACACAACGCAAGCGTTGCTTCACGTCGGTTTTCTGTGAGGCCGTGGTATCACTCCGGTCGAGCCGGCCCATTTGTGCCGAAGCATGGCTCTCCCACATTTAAAATGTTTATTGAAAAGTCCATTTAGGTTATGGTAATTAGTTTTCTAAACTATTAATATCAAAAGCCAATATCACCAGCTAAGTAGCACTTTGTACACTATCACTACGAATAAAATTAATATTTTCATTGAATACGTAAACAGTCGAATATATATTACAAAGCTTAATAGTACCTAACAAAACAATAGACGTAAATGCGTATCAAATTGGCAGTTGTTTCATTGTATTCCACTCAGTCTTTTAAATGAAATTATTGTTCTCTTAACACAAAATCTGTTATTGTTAAAATTAGGTCGAAAAATGTTTGGTACTGATTATTTAGAACACGAAATTCTATACGGTCGTGAAGGACGCGGTTGATCGAAATCGAAAGAGCGTCCGCTTAAAATGTTACCCCGATGCTGACCACGATCCTCAGATATGAGGGATCGATTCTATAATCTCTATAGAGAGAGAGATTTATAACAAAATCCAAAAACTATTTTAATACCCGTACCAATTCATAAACTAAATAAAGTAAATTTCGAATAAATACGAATAAAATACGAAGTTTAATTTCTAATCATATCCATACGAGAAAATAAATAAATAATATGAGTTGATTAATACCTTTTTTTCATTCATACATCCTTTGGAGTTAAAACATATTACAATTTTTCTTTAATGTATTTGAAGAAGCATATGGACATCAAGCTATGAACAACCAGTATAACTCGACCATTGAATACGAGGAGCGATCATAGAAAGCGGAGACCATAATAAACTGGTTATTACATCTTGAGATGTTGCCGTGTACTTAGTAGCATTTGCATCGTGATTAAATTAGATATGTTAATGGCTGTACGGATGAACATAATTACACACCAAGCATTACATAATTCTGGTTCTGTTACGACAGAAAACATCGCCCTTTAGACTGGTAAGGTAGTTATACAAGACTGTTTTAAAATAGATGAAACTGGTAACTGTAAAGAGGCCAAAGCAAATAGAAATCTTTAAAACATAAAACACAGTTTTTAAATACATAGAAATGTTAACAAGTTGCACAATTCTAATGAAATTAATTTTAACAAAACATTTTTAAGGTTCAAATTTCTTTGACAACTATAATACAGCTCCCAAAACAACATAACTGAAATTACTTGACAATAGTCAAACAAATTTTGTCTCTATAGCTAGTGTCTAAATGTCCTGTAGGTAACGTCACTGCTACATCCACCTTTGACATGGAGGTAGGTGATGCTGTTACGAGCTCTGCGAGTTGAGATGAACATTCACTAGACCGTGACGTCATTGTCCTTGCTGAAAGAAAATTGGAAATTAGAAAGATGTTAAATGAGTTTCATTCATTGGTCAACAATGATACTATAGTATCTGTAATTATAGTTGGTTTTGATACTTTAAATTCAATCTGTAATTGTTTCCTAATGTTACGGTTAAAATATACGATAATGTTATCTATTCTGTTCATGTGTGAAGAATAAAATATGGCAGTTACTATCTCTACCACTCGAAAATAAGGCAAAGGTACCTTAAAAACGAATCTAGTAGTCGATAGTAAACAAAAGCCAAATGCATTAAAAAAGTCTTTAATATTCGAGACGTCGAATAAGCAGCTGCATTAAGACGTATCAAATTACCACCTTTCAGAAACGCAGGTAAATATTGCTTCTTACAAAAAAGGGTTTTTAAAAACCGTTTAGTGTGGATGTGGAGATAAGATTTCTCCAGAGAATGCAGTTAATTACCCAGTTTGTTTAACAGGGCTGTTGAACGATTTTGATAAATTTCTTTTCTATGATCATCAAATATACTTACAGTTGGTATAACAACTGGACGCCGAGTCCCCGGAAGGGCTGTAAGGCTTCATCTCGTAATGGTTACTTCCGGCTGACGACTGATGTCTACTCCGGTTCCCAAATGGGGATGAATAGCTAGGGGTGGAAGAATAATGGCGCATAAACCAAATGGATGTGAAAACTTATTACTATACAAACAACAATATCTCATAACATCACTTTTTATGTTACGATCTTTTTTCTTTTAGGGGAACAGAACTTAAGCCTTTAGGTAGTATTGAAGGGAAAGTATTAGACCAAACCCAAGCTATAAAAATGGATTGCGCAATAATATTTGAATTCTTGGACGTTTATGGGAAGATATGAATCGAGATGGATACTTAAGTTGCACGTGGTCGAAGTATTATTTCAATTTTGCAGAACGGATATAAAACGAAGACAAATAAACGAAGTCTTAAAAAGTTTTAAACATTTGTGGGATTTTGGTTTGAATATTCAAGTACTTAACTAAGTTTTAGCTAACCTGTCTCTGACATGTGGCATGTCATAGTGATTGTCAGGTCCCTGCATCCAGTACTCGTTGCAGGTCCTCGTCAGGTCTGGCGCCGCGCTCCCTTTGTCCCTGCCTGAATGTGTCTTTGGTGTACCTAAGTGTACGAACAGCTTAAAGATATGGGAGAAAACTGTGCAAATGTGCTCTCTGTCAATGAAATGGTGGTTAATGTATTGATGATACTGAATAATAGTGACAAATATAATGATTATGGTGAATGTATGAATAAAATCTTTCAAAATTAATTATGAAGGTATTTTAAGAAGCGATATAATTAAATTGATGATATTACCTATCCTCCCAGCAGAATATCCAGGTCTGCCTCTGTATTTGCACCAGACGTATAATATAGCTACGCCAGCGAGAAGCATAGCAACTGTGATGCCAATACCAACGTACAGCGTTGTGTTATTGGTGTAGAACCCTAAAGGAAAGAACAAAAAATGTAAGTATGTTGCTCTCTACTCAAAACTATAAGTGTAAGTTACCCCAAACCATTTGTCAATTAGTATAATTTATTTTATCAGGTACTCAAGTAAAAAATCAACTAAAGTAAGTTAGGTACCTTAGCACAATGGTCTGAGAGTGTATTTAAAATCAAAAGAAGGATAATAAAATATTGACAAGTCTCCTTACTCATTCCACTAGTACACAATCCGTCAACACAGGCCGCATGTTGCAGTGTGGATCCTTGGCAATTATTTCCTGAACACTGTCTCCTCCTTACCCTCACACAGTCAACGCTGCATGAAGACCATGAGGCCCAGGCAGACCAGGTACCACCTAGAGAAAGATTTGTTCCATTATCAACATTGATTTCATCTTAGTAGATGAATGGATATACGATTCTTTAATAGTACACCACTAAGCTCAAAATTCAGCTATATCAAAACATATTTGACTACTTAATCTTTACTTACTATTCTGACATGTGACACAGTCCTCATCGCTCTGTGAAGAGTGTCCTCTACATGGAGCTCCACCGTTTGCTGGAGGTGGCTCAGTGCAGCTGCGTGACCGGCGACGGCCACTCGTGGTGGAACCACATCGACATGGTGCCCACGGTGACCATTCTGACCACCCACCGTTAACTGAATAAAAGTATGCTTTTAAATCCTTGGTACGACATTTGCCTCTACATACATCGATTCTTTTTATCTTGTTCAATTTTCAAATTTCTTTATCCTTTAGAATTTCGAACTGATTTATATATTTCGTTGTTCACGTGATATCAAGACGGTCTACTTACCACATTTACATATTACATGATTGCCATGGTATATAATTGATATTGTCATTACATTGAATAACAAAATACATTACAAGTTAGATCACCGGTGGCTCGGCCGACTATAATAATGGCTAATAATATAAAAGATATGTCAACATACCGTACACAGACAAAACAGCGACGTCGGACTCCCGCCGACCTGCGATGTTTTCCGCCACACAAGTGTAGTTGGCCATGTCCTACACATTACGCAATGAATCAGATCATTTGATGGCACTTTCATAATTATTCATTACTTATGGTAATTATAAGCGTTTAAAGACAAGAGGACTAATTTAGAATCTCATCAATATGCTATGCTTGGGGTAAATTTATAAGCGATATTAACTAAAAACCATTCACGTGAGTAACCCGCGCTTTCTAGTTAATTTATTATGATAGTTATTATAAAAATATAAGCATTATTGTTCTATAACACTAATCTCTTATCAATATTATGATGTACACCATTACTGGTCATACCATCAGATCCCAAAACACATTTTGTGTCATGAATGTGAAGTTCTAAAAGTAGTTGTTAAAGAGAAAATACCAATGGATTTGGAAATTACCTGCAAACCAACTTTTGGCAATACAAGAGTTTCAACAGTGGGTTCAATAGGCAATCCATTTCTGGTCCATTTGATGGTAGGTGGTGGTGCTGCGGGTGGCGGCACACATCTGAACGTCACTCCTCTACCAGCTTCTATTGTGGATGATAGAGGTTGCTGTAGGAACTGCTTCTTTATGTCTAGAAAGAAAAGATTATTAAGAATTTGAACTAGAATCTTACAAACATATGAAACTGATAATGGGATTATTATAGTCGGTGAATAAATTTATCTATCAATTACTGATGATTCACTTTTAAGGAAAACTGACGCACTCATCACTTATAAATGAGAGAGCCGTTAGCTACCAAAGTAAGCATGAAAACCGACGTTCCTCGTTTCATGCACTTACATACAGTCATGTCAAGTGAAATCATTAACAAATAGAAAACTGACGAACCACTTTCTTCGGAAACTTTCACTAGAACAAACGCTGATCCACCCTCGTATCACAAATAGAAAGCTAGTGAGCATTCATCAAAGTGCAAAGTGCTCGAGTTAACGAGCGGAAATAATGTTTCCTCCATATAATGGTTCCGTTACCCACCCTCTTAAAAAACGAGGGATGAAGATAAAAATAGTCGTAAAAAATTTTTGGACACCTCTCTTCGAGTTGTATCGTTAAAAGTTGAGTTATTCGATACAAAACAGTCTGGTAAATTAAAAGTAAGTTCGACTGTTACTGAGGGTGACAAACTATTAAGAAATTTCTCTTTTTCCCAGAATGTTCTAAATACTTTTTTTGGAAAATTTCCGCTCACGTTATTGATTTGAAAACGAATGGCTTTCACAAGAGTCTTTATTTTTATTTCTGTTATTCATTCTAAATACATAACAAAATCGTGTTCTTCTTCGCCATCCTTTCTAGACACCTTAACATAATCTTCTATTACATTATGAAGTTAGAACTCGTTAAAATAGTCAAACTTTTCAAAATTGTCATTTGGTTTATTATTTCTTTCGTTAACATGGCGTGTTGACTCGCGGCGTGGGGTGTTTATTTCTAGACAATGGGCGTGCCTCTTAATTGTCTGCAGTCCACTTTATTTTTGTCTTTCTCCTTATTGTTACAATTTATACGTTACGTTTTGGTAACATTTGTTTTGTTTTTGAACTGTCAAGATTTAATTACGAAGTTATGACGAATGAGCTTCGTTAGACTGCGGTTCGATCAAATTGAATTTTTTATTTTTCTTCAATTACGATGTCGATGAAATTATTTTACACGGCTAATAGTACTGTGCATGACCATTTAAATACTAATGATGTAACTTTTAATGCAAATGTCACCACACTAGCTAGATCGAAGCTGTACAAAGATTTCTATAATAAACACAGTGATAAAATGTATGAAACAAGTGCTGGTTCGAAGAGACAGAAACAAGTTTAAGTACTATAAAGCGACGCAACCTGTCCTGTAAACCTAAGACGATACTGTTATACGGGTGTTCTGTGACACAACTAGTGTGACCGCTTAGAATTCAGTTCGCTGCATAAGGCTAAGCATGGTAAATTAAATTAAATTACTTGCACGGTGGCGTACAACTTGTTCTTTCAATTTTATATTGAAAATATTGACAGAGATGCTGCTCATTTAGTGCCAAGAGCAGGTTCTGGGTGATTATCAACTTTATAGTTGTTTTTTCAGGAAATTATCTTACTAGTCGTTGTATGTATAAACAAGGTTATTTGGATAGAATGGTAGAGACGACTGGAACTGATGGTGAAACTATTCCATGGTTAAATGTTTTCTGTCGCTGTATTAAATGAATGGATACTTCGATAGAAGATTATTCAATGGTTATCCATTAATGAACCAAGTTTTATTGCTTCGTACAATGGGAGTAACTGCCCGCGGCTTAAAGATTATGTCATAACTTTCAATACTGGAACATATTTATAAAATTGATTAACTAGCTCATTACCATAATTTACAAAAATGTTGATCTGTTGATCCGAAAACCGCTGCGAGCGTATCGTTTACTTAATAATAGAAACATTTGAATGTTAATATGTATGAAAGAGAACATCGTTAAGCAACGGAAACTATTAACTTGTAGAAACAAAATAGATATTAATGAAAACAAAACGGATCGCGGCACGGCTTTTAGTTCTACTTACGATGATCGTAAACTTTTTAATTTTACCTGTTGGGTTGGAATATTTATGAGGAAGGGCTTGATACGGTAACGGTAAACGTTTGTAAAGATAAACTAAACACATTGCCACAATGGAACTCCAATCAATCATTATTACGAAGGTTCTAAAATAAACTATTGTTTTAAAGTTGATAGAAAAGAAAGTTTCTTTCAATCAAACTGTTCAGAACACTACTGGCGTTTTATGTAAGTTAGAATGGAGTCCCCAAAAGTTAGATCGCTCAATAGTCTGTATTTTAACATCGAGAAATGCCAGCTGCCATGTTCTCTAAGCTCACCATGAACGTTAATGTAATAATACCGCTTGGTCCACCCACATTTTGCGTTATATCGTCAGCTATTAATAATTCAAACTCTTTTGGTTACCTTTAATTATTGTATTTATGAGATTAAGATTTTTAATTACATTCTTTATTATAATTATAGGGTAAAGTCTTATTCATAACTTCGTAAGTGCTTCATTCATTTTTGACATGTTCACAACATTTCCGCGACTACATGTTTAAACAGATGGGGCTTTTTAACTGGTTCTCAAAGTTTTAAGTTAGGAAACAAAGCTGTAAAGTCTAGTTTTAAAGTTTGGAGAACTAGTTTGGCACGCAGACCTAGTTGGCTAGGGAAAACAGTTTTTGGTGAAGGAATTCTCCAAACGATGTTGTACATGCATGCGAAATCGTAAATGAAATAGGGTCAACTTTAGAACGACATGCAACATGTACATTTTAAATGCGATAGATATGATTTAAATAAAATATATGTAATATTTTATTACGTAGTACAAATAAATGTTAATTTTGAAATATTATCTTAAAATATTTTCTAATAATGAATTTTGTAAACGTAGCTAAAAGGAAATTAATGGCAATTAACGTCTCATTTTAGCTGCATAGTTTAATAATTGCTATGAAAATTATGCCATAAAAATAAATGAAGATGTAAATGAGACTTACAAGCAAATTCAATTAAAACAGCTTGACTCCTGATCTTGCCCTTACTGTTCCACGCGTAACATTTGCAGCTATACTTTTTATTGGCTCCGTCCAGCTCATTTCTCGTCACATTGAGTTCTGCTTCAACAACCCTGACTCCATTATGGGGGTCCACATGTTCCAACTGAACACTTTTATCGGACCTCACATCATTGCACTTGAAATACACTTCGAGGGCATTTGCTGCCCTACAGAGCAAATTCGCGGGTCTATTTCTTAGAACGTATGAATTTTTTGGTTCTAACAAGAAAATAGGAAGACCATCTATCGTTTCTTCATTTTCTGGTAAAGGTATGTAGTCATTTTCTTCTTCTGTCTCTGTTTTGAAGTCCGATAGATATGGATCGAAGTTTAGTAGACCGTCAGGGTGTATGTATTCAGGTCTTGTTTCTTTTGTTGTGTGTTCTGGATCTGGAACAAATTGGTTAAATTAATGTTTTAATATTGCGAAGCCTTATGTAAAATTTACACTACATATTTGTTATCAACGTTGTTTATTTGTTGAAAGTTAATAACTCAGATTAATATCTAAAGTTTACTTCTGAATATGGCTACATAAATAAAATTAAACTAATAATATTTGTAAAACTGAAACTAAAGTTAGAAATGTTATTTTTTACAAGTACTTTAGTTAATAAACGAATTCCAGCAACAGTTATGTAACAGAGAGTTAAATACTAAACAAAAAATAAAATACATCAATCCATTAGGGCATAAATATACTCATAAAAATCCCAAACATTTTAGCATTCATCTGTCGGTGTCTCAAAGCGTACCGTGAGCCCTACAGTAGCTGTCTTTTCGTTGATAAATAGTTGAGATAACATCGCGTAAGCCAGCCGGTGCTACTGCATGTTTTTAACTAACATCATAAATATTTAAGTGCGCGTATCTGCGCTATGAAAATAGACTAGATAATACTGTAATCAACGGTGCCTTTAGATGATTCATCATGATGCTGGCCGGAGTTAAAATGTATGAATACTGTTTTGATCTTTTGATGAATTATGCAATTATATATGTGTGGTCGGTTAAATGTGAAACACAATTTAAATACGTAATGACTAGTAGCATCTCTTTTTTTGTAGCCTTTACACTACTTTAAACTGTTTATTACCTTTGTCAATAGCTAAATCTTAACTCTATGTTAAGCTTTGACTGCACGGTTGGTGCAGTGGCTGGGAAACCGGCTGCCGTGCAACGTGTCGCGGGTTCGATTCCCGCACGGAACAACTCTTTGTGTGATCCACAAATTATTATTTCGAGTCTGGGTGTCATGTTTGTGTGAACTTGTATGTTTGTAAACGCACCCACGACACAGGAGACAATCCTACAGAGAGTCAACGTTTAAAAAAAACGTTTCATTAGATGTGTTTTGTTTTTTATAGTAAAAAAAGTAAATATTACAATCTCCCTAAGTACAATCATATCATTAGATCCGTGTGCAAAGTTTATTGAATCCGATAACGTATCCTAAACCACCTGTCAATCCCATACGCTCGGTTACACACAGAAATCAACGACGCGTTATAATCGAAAGCAAAGTTGACACATACATAGGATGCGTGTACACTGGCAGTATGGTGACCGAATGTTGACTTAAAATTTATAGATACATGACGTATGTTCCATATTAATAGGTCAATTTGATATTGAAAAAACGTATGTTTTGATAAGATTTTAGAACTGAGTTTTTAACTTTAGTAAGAGACTGCTTCGTTGGCCGAGTGGTCGCAAGTGCAACTGCCGGGCAAGGGGTCCCTGTTCGTTTCCCGGGTCGGGCAAAGTATTACTGGGTTTTTAAAATAATCTCAGTAATAGCACGGAGTCTGGAATTGTGCCCGGTAAATGGCAATAGGCTCACCCCCTATTACATGGGACTCATAACATAAATAGTGGAAAGTGGGTGTTACATTGTACAGTGGCATAATGTGAACCTCTGCCTACCCCTTCGGGGATAAAAGGCGTTATGTTATGTTATGTTAGTAAGGAACAGACTTTGGACTTCTAGTATATAGCGTCAATTACTCACCCCGTCCCAACGTCGCGTACCCCATGGTGTTACGGTAGCAAAAATTACGTAAACGTTTTTAAACTGAATATAAAGTCATGTGTCATGTGTATGTGAACCTGTATGTTTGTAAACGCACCCACGACACAGGTGATAATCCTAGTGTGGGGCAACGTTTAAAAAAACAAATAAATACCATCTAACAGGCATCACTTCTACTAAATCTAGTTCCACTACAAACATAAATATAACTAGCATTTTTAAAAAGGGTAATGAAATTAATCGTTGTTGCGTGTCACAATTAGTTGTCACTATCTTGCGACCACTCTTGTTAGTCTCAAGTTTTTTTTTAAACACACAAATTGATGTGTACAATGTAGTTTAACGATTGTACCCAATAAACAGACGACTATTAAAAAGTTAGTGTAATTGGTCCTAGTATGACTGGACACGGCATTTTATGAGACAAGTCAAAGCCATTAAGTACGTTATGATTTCAGTAGATTTATGAATACACTATTTTATGGCTTAGTACCTAGTTAAGGATCTCATAAATATGGTAGTATTAATATCTGTTCTAAGATGGATATTTATGGGCATGTGTTTAAATGTGAGTATCCGCATGTTTTTAGCTATGTAGGTACAGCATTATTGAACCCGTTTACATAAGACAACTATGTTTTTTATTTAATAATTGTATTAAGGAAACTGATTGCGGTTTAAAAAAGGAATACGCTCTTTTCTTGAAGGTTTGAAGGTCGTATCAGTTCGGAAATACCGCCGACGACAGATCATTCCACAGTTTCGCCAAGAAAGCTACAACAGAAGCGCACAGTTCTGTACTGCTAACTATCTAGGTATTTGATGAGGGTAGATATGCTGTCGTGACGGTCGATTGCGAAAAGACGGGTAGGTATCAGACCACACAATTCCTCAGAGCACTCCCCGTGGTATAGAACATGCACAACGAAGCTACATCTCTACCTACACAACATAATTAAATTACTAATAATATGTCTGTTCCTATGTTATGTGTTAGGTACAATACAAAACCGACAAGGACGGTTAAGCTAGGAACCCGCTCACACAACTCTAACCCACTTAATCAGAGGATGAGACTCATCTAGTAATTGAGTTTAATAAATTAAGGATGTACGTTCTCACATACTAACATACATCATCTCTGTGGACCGGGAACTTAGTTGGTAGGGTTGTAAGCGTGACTATCGAGCAAGAAGTAAGCGTGCTCCATCGTCGGCCACATCATCGCTTACTACCAGGCGAGATGGTGGCAAACATCGACCTATCAAGTATAAAAAGAGGTCTTTTTTAAAGGGGGGGAATGTCATCGAATGACTTCTCCCGCCTGGATGGAGTGTCAGACTCTTACTGACTAAAAACCACCCCGTTCCTACTCCTACTCTTCGAGCCGGAGAGCCGGCAACCGCAAGATCTACCGCGACTCTGTATCGGGCATCAACCCTAAAAAAGAGGTCTTAGGTTATATTTCAGGGTTGGAAAAAGTAATAGGTGTTTTTTTTTTATAATTCTAAGTTATAGGAAAGACTTTGGTATCGTGGCTAGTATATGACAATAGGTTGACCTGCTATTGTATGGAATTTAAATAAAATTACTGATGAAAATCGAGTATTAGATACCACCAATGTGTATAACACATTGTCCAACTCTTTTGGGATTGAAAGGTGGATGCTACACGGGCAGGCGCATCATGCTAATCACAACAATCAAAATTCTTTAATATATCACAAAGTTTTAAGGCTCAAAATCTATTAACAAAATTTCACTGATTAGGTTATCTTACGTGCTCTGTGTACATCTTGTTTCGTAATTACCTTTAAAACCGTGTTATATTATGAAAACAGGATGTTACGATAGTATTACCTTCGCTTGATTTGATGAGTTTAATCTGTGTACCTAATTAGTAGCAATATTTATGATTATTTTACTTATAACTGCAATCATAAAGGGCAGGTTTGCATAAATGAGATTTTACATTAAATTTTACATAGGTAAATATACCTACTAGTTTCTGAAGTCGAGTTGTTGCGAAAGGATCGGCAGAGATCGGCCTACACTAATCGTTTTTGAACTCGATATAATGTATGCTTCATAATCATCATAAACAACAATCCATTGTTAAAATCTTCGAAAAAATCGTCAACACAGATTTATTTCGAACTAAACCCCATCACCTAAACCTACCCCAATCTATCAAACTTTCTTCAATAGATTCTCAGCTATATACCTCTTGCAATAAAGCCGAATCTCTGTTGAACAAGAGGGATAGCAGGACGTGCTGGTGTTTGCAAAATATATCCCCTATTTCTGGCCACCCTTGCTTTACGGTCTTTGGCTGTACCACCCATGGCGTCATAAGTGGAGACGCGAGGATTACATCAAGTGGATGAGCAGTGTCCATTGCGCTAATACCTTCGTACTAGGGAGAGCTAAATGCTGTGATTGGTGGAATAATGTAATAACTATATTTAGGACAAAATAGCCACATTGATATTTAGGACAAAATAGTGGAATAAATAGAATAAAAAGAATAAAGCTAAACCAGTAAAAGTATTACTAGTAATCTAAAGAACTTGAGAAAAATACGAAGAACGAGAATAAGTTGACGTTATTGTATTACGAAACTAAGCCAGTGTGTAAAACTTCATTGAACCAATTTTAGACCTCAGTCCATTGTCTATAAGGATTTCCAAGGATCTCACTAACCGCCCAATCAAACAACAGATTTTAGTTCAAATAAATGTTCTATTAAATATCTGTCAAGAGATTGATCCAAAGACATTTGGATTTAAACTGATTATTAATTTCGACTTTATCTCTAAAGTTATACAATTGTACCGTAATATACCCCACATACGTATCATAATCCTTCATCAAGTCAACTGTTAAATCACTTGTGAAGCGAAGTTGATATTATCGTGTTCACCACCAAGTTTAACCAGCTGCTGTAGCCAAATTCCATTTAGCGCTTGTCTACATGTAGAATAGAAAACTAAATTATATGGAATTGACGTAAATTTTGACACTTGTCAGTGTCATCCCCATACATTTACTTTTCTACTCTCTCTGTAGACAAGCGCTAAAGTGGCGTTTGGCTAAAGGCACTGGGTATAAATAGATTTTATCTCTATCTATAAAAGCTAATCCTTAACTGGCTTACATTCTCCATGTGCCACCGATATGAATGAAAATATGGAATGTAAGTACTGCTTATTATTCCACGCAAGTATTTGTATGAGAGGACAGGTTACTACGCGTAACTGATGGACTGACATCCTGTCAGTATCTGAGCTCAACGTGACCGCACTCCAGTTATGTGAGGTATGTTGCCAGTGATATCGACGAGGTGTGAGGAATTTGTGGATGACGGCAGTTAGTTTTAGATGCATTTAGTGCATTGAAATAAAGTGATTTGATTTGATTATGATGGGTATATATAGTGTATCTAGGTGTTGTAAATGTTCGATAAAATTGCTGGATTAATCAGATTGATAGGAAACACCAAAGGATTTAGAAATAAGAGGGTATTCAAAACATTAATCGTTTTGTAAAACAAGGGCTCACAAAAACATTTTCGAGGGGTAACGGACTATTTGGTTTAAGCGACATTTTGGTCGATATTGAGTTATATATATATTCGGAATCAGCGAATTTTTCTCCGTCGAATATATATAATAACTCAATATCGCCCAAAATGTCGCTTATACCAAATAGTCCGTTACCCCTCGTTTTGGCACATCAGTTGTGGTCAACATCAACAATGGTTCGGCTCGTGCCATTGCGTGGTAACCGATTGTCTGGTCAGTCTTCAATGCGCCAACCGATCAGTCAATTAAGTTAAAAGTTTTTACGAACACCTTTTGTTTAATTAATTGAGCACACACGGTCCATCCATTTCTTGTTAGACTCTCCCCTGCAGTTACAGTTGTAAAAACACTATTTTTAAAAGTGAGAATTATACTCACACAACACAGGTAGTAGTAACAGGGGTAGGCAGAGGTGTACATTACGGCACTTAAATGCCACTGTAAGTACAATGTAACACTCACTTTTCACTATTAATGTTATGAGTCCCATGTAATAGGGGGTGAGCCTATTGCCATATATCGGGCACAATTCCAGGTTTCGTGCTACTACTGAGATTTTATTAAAAACGCAGTAGTACTTTGCCCGACCCGGAAATCGAACCCGAAACCCCACGTATCGCAGTCTCTCAAGTGATAATTTCTAAACTTAATAAGATTAAAAAGGCATTGTATTGTGTCTACTATTATACAAGTACATGAAATTAGAGTGTAGTTGCAGGTGTATGGGTACTGCGGGCAGCTGGATCACACAATGCCCTACTCCGGTTACCGTCTCGTCATCCGAGGGGATTACCGCTTTATCTCCTCAAGCCTCATTGTTACTGCGCCAAGGACTTTTGTTCAACAAGAGATCAGTATCTGCGGGTCTATATTGCATCATGTTAGCTTGTCTCTTAAATAGAGTATTTTCTGATTAAAATTCAATAATATCAAAAACGAGAGTTTCCTTCTTAGATTAACTGTTAGTTGTAGTTGGTCGAAGGTTTCCTTGTATGTAATTGTATCTAAGTTTTGACGTCATAATTTAGATAGCTGAACCCGAAATATGCATTCCAGCTTAATCAATAAACAATCTGCACTGTGGCTGTCTGATAGGCTACCGCGCTATGTGTTCATTTCCCTGTCGGTCGAAACATACAATATCTTTACGTGATCCATCGATTTTTATTCTGAATATAAGTGTGATGTGCTTGTGAAATTATGTAACAATGTATTACCACACATTAATCAATATCCAAGGGATGCCGGCCAGGTTATGTTTAGAAATCGAATTCCAATTTCAACGCGAATGATAAAGTAAGTAAGTAACGCAAGAATTTACTGTCTAGCTATCCCACCAGTCGTTGCTCTATACCAATCAAACGAAGTGACAAAGAATCCCACTATTGTCTTTTATAGTCTAGACATGAAGCAGTTAATACTAAACAAGTTAGCAAGTAATTGAATAACCTATACCTAAGCCAATATGAGTCATCATTAAGTAGGTACTTATTATAATACACCGGATTTGGTTCCGGGATAATAACTTAATTCATAATGGCAGTATATTGATGGGTACGTCGGAAGAGGATGTCTATAAGCAAAATTATAAGTACCTATAACCGGTCAACCAGCTAGGGATTGATAAATATGGGATCGGAATTGGAATTTTGCGGTCTATTGTCTCTGCTGACGGTTATAGAAGGAAATATTAATTGACTTAAAGTCAAATACATTCTTATATACTTGTACTAACTAATATTTTTGAGTATTATTAAGTTAATCATGTACACAATCTTAAAAAGAGCACTAGTGGCGCCATCTCGTGACGAAGTTTGTCAAACTATTCCCGCTATTTATTATTGTGAAAACAATTATAGAAGTATTAAAATAAATAAGTAAATAATAAGTAAGAGATGGACAGTTTGACAGTCTTTTATTATTCAATAATGTAATACCTAGTAATCAACTAAAAAGTATTATTAAATTGTTCACAATTTTTTAATGTTTTCTTGTTTATGTAATGATAAAAAATAACATAATGTAATCGTTGTATTTATCATTAAATTCAAAAATAAATACACAGTTAACTGTTTGTGAACACACAGTACCAAACGATCTTTGCTACATAATCCTAAGCTAAGTAATTACAGTAACTACAGACATCCTCTACGTTATATTTAGATGAGTTCAAGTGGTAATCGATTCAATTAGTGGTCATAATCTCTCAGCCACTGTTCTCAATGGTCCGTGGAAGCTGAAGGCAAAGGCATTCATGGATGATTAACTGCGTACGTGTTTTAATTGAGCTTCAACTATTAATAGACAGTTGTAGAATACACAATAAGTGCCTATTAGATATTCGTATTAATATTTTGCACTATGCTAGTGTTCTGTACTAATGATGTGTAAAGTAATTAAAAACATATCCGTAGCACTCTGTATGTTACCAAATCTGTGTTAAAAGTAAAAAATAAAGCACAAAAACTATGTGCAAAAACGGCCGCTAGGATTATAAGGCAAAAATGATTCATGCAACACAAAACGTAGTTTTAATCATTATTATTAAAGTGCTTGTTTAACAAACAGCTGTGCGTAAAGCCCATATGTGCCTCAAACGGTCAAAGGGTTATAAAAGCACCCCTTAAAAACATTGTCCCGTATATTATTCCCACATTTTATATAATCAGATAACATATAATGACACTTACCTCCATTCATGACACTTCTCACGAGCATGACATCTACGAACAAAATCCAAAAAGTCTTTTTGAAAACCATCACTGATCAACTATTCACTAAAACTTCATACAAATGTTACAACGCGATGTTTTTTCGAAATTCGAAGAATGGGACGAACGTGCGCGCGACGCGGCGGTCCGCGGGTTACTGAACAGTGTAGCCACCCCATACATCATGGTGATACATTGTATTGTATAGGCCCGACCATGGGATGCGCGCTCCCAATTAATATTAATTATGTTTCTTCCTTTAATTTTTTGTCTAATAAGAACAAAAATGAGAACAATTGAATAGTAAACAGTACATTTAAAAAAGTGCTGTTGATAGAATTAGCGTGTGAAGATTGTTAATTGTAGTTTAATTGTTAGGTGTTGGTATGTCAAAGTACACAATACCACCATGTTAAGAGCTTTTAAATTAAATAGCACCAATCATCACTTACATTAATTTGTTACAATTTTAACACATACAGTTTTACATCATCAAAATTTGATAAATTATCTTTAGGAAAGTTAATATAATTGTGATAATACTTGTTGTACTATTTTTCCAATACTAGAAGATCGGGGACTTAACAGAAAACCCTAAAAAAATATTTAATCATATTTATTTATAATTCTCATTGTCTCATTATTCTTTGTGATTTTCTCATTCCTCAAATTCTTAATCTCCAAAAGGTCGGTAACGCACTTATAACACCTCTGGTCTTTGGGATGTCCATGGACGGTGCTGATTGGGTTGCTGGCAATTGCTTATTCCATAGAAAAAATATCCAATATTGCATTTATTCAACTATGTATTACGGCGTATATTCTGCTTACAAGACAACAAAATCTAAACCACTCAGCACTCGTATACTGCTTGCAAAAAACATACGACAAAAGCTCCTAAGCTTTAAATAGTATAATACACCTAACGCCATCTACATTTTATACACGCAAAAGTTCTCGACATGGAAGTCAAACCTAAAGCTATAGCTGACGCTATAGCTGACGCGTACAAAAGCTTTATTATAAAGCTCTGCCAGTAAGTAACTTTCAATGTTCTCCATAGATGGCGTTGTTCTTAAAATTGGATAGTTTACGCTGGTAATCACAACTTGGTAGATGTCGCTGATGTCAATTTGTGAATAACGCTCTCTCTTGTCGCTTACGTAAACTTCGGAGTTGGGGTTGGTATTAATTTTATTCGAATAGGGGAATGTGGAAAATTTGAAAGTTGAGTCAGTATCTCGACTGTTTGTTTCTCTTTAGGGCGAACAGATGGCCATAGGGGTATGAATTTAACATTAGAAATAATTTTACCTACTGGTGGTTCAAATGGTGACAAAAAATAAAATAAACGAGATACTTTGAGTTGGGTTGAGTGGTAGCAAGCGTTACTACCTACCTTACGGTTTGAGCTAAACAAACGAAAATCTAAAATGCCCATAATCGTTTTATGAAGTACGGAATGTTAATGAAGATTTCGAATTTCAATATTTTCCTCGTAATTCAGACGACTTAAATATAATTTATTTATGGTTGAGATTTTTTTGCATACAATTAAATTATATGTGCATTATGCTGCCTCTTTATAGTGGCCACAAGAGTGACTGCCTAGTAACAGACAGACTCTATCTATAGTATGATATTGCAATAGGTCACCGCTAATTTCAGGGGACTCATAATTTTACTGGTAAAAAGTGTGATTATGATAATTTAATCTAAACAATGATCTCAATTCATACTTTGACCCTGCAATTCTCAAGACGCCACATTCACACGAAGTACTGAAAATTCATGTGATTGATTTCAAATTCAAACTTAGAATAGCAGTGTTGCCAGCATTGAATATTGATTGCACAAAAGGCGTTTGGCGCCAAAGCGTATTCTCAATTCAAAATTATTCGAGAACCATCGACTCCTTTTGATGGCGCAAAAATATGTAAGTAGCTGAATTCGTCAGTCACATTTCTATTCCGAATAACATTTTCTATTTCTTTCCCTCCCTTTGGAATAAGATCTTCTATCCCTCTCTTAATTTGCGGTACGGAAATTCAAATTTGACGGGTTGGCTCGCCTTTCCGTACAATTTCGAAGTATAATGAGCCTTTAAAGGTGGAGCAATCAATAAAAATATCAAAGGTTTACTTATTTTACGGAAAGCTTTGACTTTGCTGGAATATTTCACATTTACATGAAAAATTCAGAGGTGGTGAGGGTAAGGACTGTTAAATTGAACATAGTTTAAATTTTTATAGGACGAATATGAAACTAGATTCGTGTAATTTGAAAAGACAAAAATGTTACAGATGATTTTGAATCAAACTATCGACAGCAATTATCAGACCCAATTAAAAAGATAAATACAAAAAGATTTACAACTAATGACAACAGCACTTAGTCTTCAAATACTTACAAGAAATAATACACAAACTGTTATCCAGTGGAACCGATTATCATAATAGTTTAGCGAGCAAAGTGGATAAAATGGACAAACTTAAGTAAATCCGTATTTGCGGACCACGGCCGGTTGTTAGAGACACTTCGACAGAGTTTGTAGTGAGCCGCTCAAGTGGTGGAGACTTTTATACAACGCGATAAAAATATCGGATAAAGGTGTTTAGAATTCTTTATTTGCATTGTAAAATCTTCTACTTTCTATTCATTTACTGAACAGTTTCTTTGAAGACTGATCGTAGACCTTAGAGTATAATGATTGAGTGATTGTTGAATTTGAATTTTTTACTTACGTGCAAAACCAATTAGGCATAAAATACTCTGTTATTTAATCTTTTTTATTCATTGTGAACAATATTTCCAATAACTCGATAAGTACCTTTTTAGTGTCGTGGGTATGGTAATGGTCACCAGATGACCAGGCTCTGAGGAATTGTTTGGCTTTGGACCTGCTGCGTCTTTTCGCCATCGACCTTCACCACAGCATATCCATCCCCATCAGATGTTGGCAGGCCACAACTGTGCGCTTTACTCATAGCTTTCTGTCTCGCACAGCAAAACTGTGGAATGATTTGTCGTTGGCGGTATTTCCGAACCGATACCACCTTCGAACCTTCAAGAAAAGAACATATTCCTTTTTAAAAGGCCAGCATTCGCATATGTTTATGCTCGTTTGCCTCCCCCCCCCCCTGTTTCACAAAAAGACATTTTATGCAACTCTTTTAGGATTTCTTTACTGCAATACTGCAATTTTTGGTCTATCGTGTCGTCTCCACCCCGGACACATTGAACAGCCCACAATTGTCAGCTTGTACTTTGTCCAGAAATGTTCCAGTTTAGCACCCACGTCACGTGCAGCAAACGAATGCGGGACGACATCGACGCGTCTCCAATTGTTCGAATCTTGGAGCTTAACTCGATCAAGCGGGTTTAGTTGCCAAGTGATAAACCGCTTACAGACCGCACTTTTTCGACTCACAGTTGATTGAGAATCGATAGCACGTTGGATAGTCTGCTTGCCTAAAGAAAGGTTTAAGTGATTAAGGTGAATGTGTGAGTTGGAAGCTGTAGTGAGTGGCAGTTCTTGAGTACCCATGTTGTTGCGGAGAAACACTCTTGAGCGTACTAAGCAGCTTATTATTATGTGACTGATTAAATCCTTTACTATGAACAAAAACGAAATCCTAAATAAAAGATAGGTCAAAATCGAAGTTTTATATTAGTTCCCAGTCAAAGCATTTATTTCAATTAAACCATAGTTTGGTGCTTTTGAAACGTCAACAAATACAAAATAAATAATAGTCTGTCAGTCAGTCCGTCAGTAAAACTAGGTGAAGCTAGGTGCTCATTCCAAAAAGTAGATTCGAATGGAGAAGAACGAGCAAGAAACTCCATTCGTTACTCTTTTTTAAAAAAAGTATGTGTCAGTGGGTCAGGTATCCAATAACCTGTTAAAACAATGTCAAAAGAACAAACAGCGTTCCTTGTCTCTAAAACTAGAACGAACGTCTTTTGTTTCATAAAACTCTTGTTCATAATCCTTTCTAATCTGCATCACTTGTGTCATTCTAACTTATATTACGTATACTTATCTTGTGTCTCACTCGCACACAACTGTCAAAATTCCCACAGACTATACGCGAACTTTATTAATTTATTTTTTCTCGTCGAATTAAAACCTTTATCTGATTATCTTTTATCGGTTTTTCGTTGTGGTAATAAATAAAATAAAATAATTTTATTATTTTCGTTCGTTCAGTAAGCTGATGTGTTTTCACGCTGCAATGACTTCGAATGAACGTTTCATTTTTTGGTGAGTGATGTTCATTTTGATAAAGCATTATTTAATTGAATATAACCTTTTTGTGGACACAGGTGTAGGAACTTATGGAACAAGTGTTTATTGATATGGTGATTATTAATTAAGATTAATAAAGATATTATGTATATCTTCTGTTTTATTTGTTTCTGTATCTATTGGTCATAAACGGTTGTTCAAAACGAACTAACTTAAAATTAACTTCGATTCTAAACAAAAATAACACTATCAATATCTGTAATTGGTCAAAAAGTCAAAACTGACTTAAAATCAGATCCATTTGTACCAAATAATCTTAAAGATTATTTAAAAATCTTTATTCAAAACGCAACTAAAATAACTTATGCGACGCAAAATAGATTTGAAAACTAAGCTCCGTAAGGGCAGTGGTAATCCTATAGATAGGCTAACTGATATAGCATCGCGTTTGAGCTGTGAGCTACGGATATAATCCGCGAACAAGCCCGCCCTACCCTTTAACCAATACGTGACCACAAGCATTATGTGGTCCGATGTCCAAATATTTGGATGTGGTTGTCAAATTCTGAAAATCGCTATGCTACTTTTTTATTGTTTTCTACTTTAATGTGACTGTCAATGAACGAAATCATTTTTAGGTAAAGTTTAGGGTTAATTATCATTAAAATAATAAATAATAAAATAAAATCTTTATTCAGAAATGAAAATGGACACAGATACAAAAATATTTCTTGGGTAAATAAAATAGATCTCACATGGTTGGGTGCCTGTACTAGGATAATCCTGTGTCACAGGCAAGA